GTTGGAGGTGACGTGGTGGGCAGGCAACAGCTACTTGCCCGTGTTTCTCTGTGCGCGCAGCTGTCTGAGCAAGGCCTGGAATGAAAGCGATGCAGTCTTGCTCCTTAGCTTTCTGCCCGACCAAGTGATAGCGAGCCTGCCTGCCCCACGGGCGCAGCTGGCGGAGAGGGCACTGTGCGCCTCTTGTGGTACTTCCACTAAGTTGTCTTCCAACCTAACCTTATCAGTTACCGAGGTGGCCTTTTGTTTCGCATCCATACACTTTCTATGCTTACATGGCACCTGGTTTGGGCCTCAGGTGGTGCAGAGGGTGTTATTTATCGGCCGTCTCCAGGCACCAATTTCTTACTTCAGTTGCTATCACCTCAGAAGTTTCAGGTGTGTGACTTCCACGTTCTTCTCTGACCGTGTCTCCTGGACTTGTCCTGGGGGGGCTAGAGGTCTGAGATTGCCTTTTGCTCCTTCCTTTTGCCATTTTTTGCAGTGATGGCAATGGGCGGGGTGCAGGTCAGTGAGGGTCTCTGGAGAGTGGGAGGGCAGGCTCACCAGCGCTCCTGCTGTGTCGGATTCAATGAGGTTTCTACCTCATTGAGAGGCGAGCAAGCTGCGGTTCAAGAAGGATCTGCTGATGCGTGCGGCCGAAGTTGTGCAGGGCTCTCTTGATGGTGGATTGGTGCAGGGTAGTGCTCTGTAAGGCTCCTCGGGTCGCTGTGGTAGTCACGTCTCCCCAGTAGTCTACAGGACAAGCAGGGACTACCAGACTCAGCAAACCCTTGCAGGAGGCTGGAGGCCAGGCAGAGCTAGGGGGCCGGGCCAAGTCTCCCCAGCAGTCTCCACCAATATCTTCTGAGCCTACCCTGGAGTCTGCCCCGCTGCACTGATGCTGAGGCAGAAGCAGCCCAAGTGCTGCTGGGTCCTCTCTCCACCACTAATCAAAATACAAGTGCGAGAGGGTAGGGATAGAGAGGCCGCAAGGTTGGAGTTTTTATACAGCATTGTTCCAGCTGTCAAAGAGCCAAGCAATTGAGACAGAGAATGTCCCATAAGCAACAGACTTCTAACCAATGTGTTCTAGACATTGGAAATTGCGAAAGGACGCATTCATTTTATCCTGAACTTGAATGCTAAGTTCCAAGCAGGGAGACCAAATTGGCGGTGTGGTGGCAAATCATAGATGGGGCATGGATTTCTCCAATACCTGTTCTTAATCCTACCTGCTCACAGCCCAGCTTCTTCAGCAGCAGCCCTGTGAGTTACTTTCTGGCCCATGAGATGGAGGGAGTCTTAGGGGAGAGCGTCCTCTCTCGTGAAAGAAAACTGAGCCAGAAGAGACTTTTTGCCTCCCTTCCGCTTTTGATGCTTCGATGTGATCGTCACCACTCGAGCTGCAGAGCTCACTGGTCACCACGCGGGAACAGCGCTGAGGTTGGGAAGGAAAAGGGTGCAGAGCCGAGACCCTGGTGACACCGCTATGCCACTGAGCACACCCCTGCGGCAGCTCCGTCTGGCTTCTGCACTGTGTGACGCTTATGAGTTAAGTAACCCGTTACTTGTACGGAAGCATTTTCAGCTGTCATCGGCACTGGTGGCAAGTACTGTCACCAGTATCTGCCTCTCGAGGCCTCCTGCTCCAGCCTAAACATCTTTGTACACAGGTGACTACAGAGGCATGCGTAGATACACATGCCTGGGTGCGCTTTGTGGCTTTAGTCTTGTATGATCAAGTAAACATCCTAACAAACGAGAGAGAAAGGCGGATTTGCACAGCGACACGTTGGACGCAATCATCAGTAGGAAGCAGAACTACAGAGGACATAATTTCGGCAGCACATCCACATTTCATAAATTTTCTATAAAAAGATTTCTTCAGATAAAAACAATGTACTGTATTTTTCAAAAAGGAAACTTCCACAAGGGCAAATCTTGTAGTAATGAAGGATTGAATCGTGCCAATGTTTCACAGAACTTGCCACTTGGCTAAAAAGAGAGTAGCCCGATTACCACACAGAGGGTGCTGCGCACGTCTCTACTCCCTGAAAATAGAAGAATGGGAATGGGCCTAATTTATACGAGAGAAGATTAAAAATTAAAGCACTTTCTATCTAATAAAAATAGCGAAGCGTCAGTCTGGAGGACTGCTGATGCCTTTTCCAGGCCCACCGTGCAGAGCGCTGACAAGGAAAGGTCAGGCGAGGCAGCTACTCCTCCCGGGGTCCTATTGATTAGTAATGCTCAAGACCTTCACACATAAGAAATACACAGCTTTTCAATGCAAGAACTTGAGAAATAGTCGCACACTTTGAGTAATGAAACTGGAATTTAAAGCAAGAAGTAGCTGAGCTTCATATCGCTGCTTTCCTCTGTGTGGACACAGACTGGGTTCAGCAAGACTACAAACACCCGCAAACTGCAGCACCGATGGCCTGCGACTTGCGCAGGGACTTGGCTCGTAATCTCCCAGCCATTCTCAGAGACATCCTGGGCAAGGTGCGCGCTGGGTCTAGGACTTATTCCTGCCTCTGTTTCACTGAGAGAAATTAACATGGAGGGGAATGAACAAATCTTTTTTCTTTAAGCATTACCATCATCAACTGCAAGTGGATATTAAACATACAGTATATTTCAGTCACTGGCTAAAAAATGATAAAAGTATCTCCCTTTTTAAAAAGGATAAAAAATAAACCAAAAAAAAAAAATTCTTACTTTCCAGAAAGAGATAACGCCAGTGAGGAGTACACAGTAGCACAGAGTGGGGAGGGAATTCAGAGGCGGCAGGGACGAGGCACTCTACGGGGTGGGGGGTAGAAAGCAAATGGACCTCCTCAAGAGGAGGCTGGCCAGGGACTGGAAGGCTAGGGCAAGCCAGGGAGCCCCTGAACGAGCCGGGGAGCAGCCAAGGACTGTGCACCACGTGCAGCAGGTCGTGTGCACACCCACCACGACACAGCAGGGAATCTGTGTGCAGGAAATAGACACGGGCTTAGGGAATGGTCACACCTAGAGGGGATGCCACACCCGAGTGAAAGCTGATTTTACCCTACCTGTGATCACCATAGCCTGTGGTTCTTTCTTATTCTTTCTCTTCCATTCTTTTAGTCCTTTCTTCTTTCCTTCTTTGTTTTTAGGCTTTACTTTTAAAATGTTTTATTATGAAGAATTTCAAAGACACACAGCAGCAGAGGAAAGGGTGCGACGCATCCCACTGCCCATCAGCCACCACCAACGCAGCCTCTCGTGTTGTCCGTACTCTTCTGACTCTGCAAGACTTTCCTCCTTACCCTCTGAAGGAGGCCTGGCATCATTAGGTTTCTCAGGAAACTAGGTGAAGCACTGGACAGAGCTGTGGACAGTGGTGTTGAAAGCAACATGGCCCCAGAGAAGCTGGGGTCTCAGCCTGGGTCTAACGCTTGAGAGGGCTTTGCCGCCCTGCTCCTCGGACCACCTGCCCCAGAGGAAAGGTGCCCAAGGAGCGGGCCAGCCCAGAGCCCGTGCCTTGCTCAACAGGGCACACTCGGGCCCCAGAGACAGCGAGGCCACTGGCCAGAGGGGAGAGGGAGAGGCCTGGACCTGCTGCTGGAGTGGTACCCACGTTCCCAGGCCGCTAGGGACAGGAAACGAGCACATGGTGGGGAGAAAGGTCCCCTCTGTTCCCACACACCAGAGCTCTGGCTGGAGCTCTGCTCCTGCCCCATGACGCATACTCCTTAAAGATGGGCCTTGAAAGTGAGAAACACTACAGTTTTCCTCAGTGTTCTGAAATACAAGTTAGTACTACAACGTCCTTTGTCAAGTCAGCCGAAGGCCACTAACTTGCCTGGGGGGCATGATCTGCGTTCCTGGACACGGAATGAGGGTGACACAGGATCCACTGACATCGGCCAATGCAGCTGTCACAGCAGGGAGCCCACAGCAGACCGACGCCATGGGCGAACCCATCTTTGCAAGAACTGGCTGGCTCTGTCTGGTAAACCTCTTTCCCTTGCCCAGCTGAAGTCCAGCCTTCCACAGGGTCCTCCTGAAAAGAACTCCCCCCACGCAGAAGCCAGTTCCCCCGATTCTGAGACAGAGCTCACTTGTCTGCCCAGGAACTCTCCCTGCGGTATGTAAGGAAGACGGCCTGCAGCCTCCTCTGTACAAAGCAGAGTTCATTTCTACTCAGAAACCCCATTTTGGAAGCAAGGATGTTGTAGGAATAATGCCTTTATGTCCTAGAATTTTCTTTATGCTACATGAAGAAAACAGGCAGGCCTATATATCTCAACAGGCACACACCTAAAGAAAAAGTAGAAAAAGCAAAATAGGGCAGCCCACAGTAGCAGTTAGGATGTGTTTTTTATTCCTGAGGGGATAATATGTGGTTTCATTTAAATAAGAACACAATCTCCATTAACTTAATTTGTCAAGGCAGCGCTCAGCTAGTACCCCAGTAAGGCATTTTTAGATACATCATTGCTACTTTAAAATTAAAATTGAATCAGTCCTGTGGAGTTAATTACCAGCAAATTAAACTAAAGTAGGTCTCCCACATGGCATGAAGCCATCGGAAGAGGGTTCCAGTGCTAGCCAGAAACATTGCAAGATACCAGGCGTACGCCAGAAAAACTGTTTAAACGTCTCAAATGTCTACAGGAGCACTGGGGAAAATTGCTTACACTTTCCCACAATGAGAGAAGATAAAGGCCTAATTGAGGGACCTTTCTGATAGAGGTTTAGACCTGTCGCTAGTCCTCTAAAATATAAAATCTCCAACTCTCGGTTGTTCGAGCGTATTTTCCAATGCTTACAGAAAAGGAATTATGCCGATTTCTTCTTAATGCTGACACAGAAGCTTATTTAATTATGTAAGGTAGAAAGGCTTGTAGAAACTGAAAATTCCAGCCAGGAAAACGAAGTCACTTCCCTCATTAGTGCTTCGGGGCAGCATGTCTTCCCCCGAAGACATGACTCAAGGGGAAGCACAAGAAAATCAGAGAGAGAAGAAAAACCCTCAAGCGGACAGTTGTCTGAACTTTAATTAAATATCTGAATCAAGGAAAAGGGAACAAGTGAAAGCCTAGTCAGAAATGGTACATGCATAAAGGGAACTGATGGTAAGATGACCGCTGATGTATCATTGGCAATGAACATATTTGTTTTATTTTGTTTTACTACAAACATGACAAGGTTTTCTGTCATTTCTGTAATTATTCAAATGCACAACTGTTCTTAACATCCTGGCTTAAAATGTCCAAGAGTACAGCAAAGCAAGCTGTTTTTGCATCTGAAATACACAGTTACTCAAGGCTATTTGGCCCCATATTTAATGTATTAGTAGCCTGACATGTAATTATTAAAATTACATTCTTTCCATTTTAGTTTTATAAATTTCATTTTGCATCTCAAATGTTCCTAAATAAATTTTGTAAACTAAGCATGAAAATGATAAGCCTCAAACCATACATTTGAAAAGAGTCCCATTTGAACCATTCATCATATATAGCGGAGTTTATCACGCTTCCTTCGATAGACTTAATACCAACGTTCAACGTCATGGTAATACATACAAACTACACAAATACACAGTACTCTCCGACGTGTGGCTTGTTCAGCCCATGAACGCACACAGGTGACAGCAGAGCCGAGTCTCCTACTGACCCATCTTGACTGTGGCTCCATTTATGAGAGAAAGCCAACTGGGGGCTTTCTCATAAGTCAGAGCAAGACCAGCAGAACTCTAGGTGCCAGAGGTGTCTCTGTATCTCTTCCAAATGATTGAAGGTCATTTCTTCTGGTGTCTGGAAGAAACAAAATGTCCTTGTCTAATGGCTATTGCTTTAGTAGTCACATGCCCAATAAGTTCTAGCATCTAGGAGCATGCAGTCGAAGCTAGCATCAGCTGTGCAGTTATGGTATTAGTAGTGTTTGATTCTGTCATGTGCAGTGAGACGCTGTGAGAGAGAAACACAGGCCTTGTCCTCCTCAGCATCCAGAATGGTGCAGAACGCTCAAGACTGCAAGCACACTCTGAAGACAAGTAAATTGGTTACAAAGTCAGGGTAACAACAAGTGTGCATGCTGTAGAAACGTGAGGCTGGCACCTAAACGGAGAACCCCCTGGTTTGTTTTCAAAATTCCGTTTCTGGCTCTGACTATTGTGAACAAGCCGGAAAATTTTCACCTAATGCTCAACGCTAGTATTAATCTTAGAAGTGGGAAAGGAGTGTAAAGTGAGAAAATTTGCGGGTTTTTCTCCCTGACTATGATTCTATCTCATTAAAGAATAACTTGACTTTATAAAAACCCTTTTAAAAATAAAGGACTTGAGGTCTCAGTGGCAAGGAAGGTCGGTGCGGCGCGCACCGTCCCAGGCTTCCCTCTCTGGAGTTTATCTACAAGATCAAACACAATGAAGCATCCCGAGATACAAGCTCCTTTCTAACTCTCAGACTGCGCCTTGCTCGTGAGTCCTTCGGCCCATGCACATTCGAGGCGCGTCGCGTACTGAGACGGTGAGCAGAAAGGGTTGGTGCCACGCAGGCTTTATGGCCGCCGGTTGGAACAGCCTCGCGGGTCCTCTCAGGCGCCACTTGGCGAGTTCTCAGCGTCTCGGGCGCACGGACTCGAGGGCCGCTCAAAAGCGCGGAAGCGGGAGTGAGAATCGGCGGTCGGGACCCGGCTCGGGCCTGGCGGGCTCCGCGGTGGGCGCGGCTGTCGGCCGCCAGAGCCTCGCTCGGGGTCACCAGTGCTGACCGGCGGCGCGCGTGCCCAGCTGCGCCTGGGACACAGCGGGCACCGCGGTGGCGGCGACGGCGGCAGCGGCCGCGTCGCCCACGCCGGGCAGCACGGAGCGCACCGAGCGGCGGAACTCCTCGTTCCTCCAGGTGTAGAGCAGCGGGTTGAGCGCCGACAGCGCGCAGCACAGCAGCCAGCTGGCCGCCTGCACGCCCCAGGGCACGGGCAGCGCCAGGCCGCGCGCCAGGCTCACCCAGGCGAGCGGCTGCGTGGCGAGCAGGAACACGCAGCACAGCA